ACATTAATCAAGGCATTCTAAAGATTCAGATATATACACATTTATGAGTAAATTCATGCATTTTGAGGGTAAAACACAAAAAACGAAGGCAACAACAAAGAGCGGCACACGCCGGGCGACAAAAGCATTTGCTTCCGGTATGCCGCCTGTCACTGGGATTTCTACACTCAACAAAATAATAGAACCCTTAAAGTTATGATGTTTCATATATCATAAAAATATATTTCAATACTTAATAATTTTGTATGTACCTAATTTACTTTATCAAAATTATAATTACTTTTTGAGAAAAAAAAAAGTCTTAAAATTCTGTTATATACCCTTCTTTTAAGAAACTTAGGATATTACATATGGAGTGGACCCAAATAAATATATCTCCATACTTAAAAAGTTGAATACCTTTTGTTTCTATTTTTATTTAGAGGACTGAACCAAATTTTATTCTGCGTCACACATTTTTTCAATGCATTTCAATGTTATTAATATATTTAGTCCTTAAGTTTAACATTATTATTTAAATAAATTTATTATCTTTGGTCTGTTACTAAATATATTTCTAGAGTAAGTTTTTTCAGTATACTTGCTTATTTTTTTAAGTGCACTAAAGGGGAGGAGCTAGTGGGCGGTGGGTGGTGCTGTGGTAGGTGGAGTGCCTGTGCATTCTAGCTTGAAATAAAGTTGCACTGACTGACGCTTTTCGCCTTTTGTATTCCGAACTTATTGTTGTGCGGCAAGCGAAGAGAAAAATGTATTTCGAATGAATAAATATTCCTTCTATGACCCTAATGGATTTCGTTGTTGTTGTGCGGCAGACAAAGAGTTGAGCCCTAAATGGAGGCATATGCTAATTATAAATGGTAGAGCTATCCTTCAATGTGGGGCTATAAAAAGAAACTATAGAAATATATGAAAGATCACTGACCCTTTACTCTAATAACTATATTTAAGGATACATATTTGGTATTCAACTTAAGAGATAGGCGAGCTAATGAAATTTTAGATGTGATAACACTAACATTTTAATTTCCCAAAATAAAATTATTAAAAGAAGCTTATATATATATATAAGTTTTAAGAAATCCCAAAGACCGAAGCGATTAAAGTAAAATCTCCTGTGAAACAGACATCTCTGATTCCCCCGACTCATCGCTTTCCCCGGTGTTTCCTTCATATCTCTGACGCTTCCAGCTATTTGCACACAAACAAAAATAAATATTAAATCTCAGAAATCGTTTTTGGGCAGGGACTCACCCTTAACCCTCGACCTGCCACCTCCCCTCACTTTCAAAGGTTCGGTTTATTACTCTTACTATACCATGTGACACGCTTATCGACGGGAGCAGCGTTTAGTTTTGTGATTGAGTGGGTGGACATGTGGATTGACAGCATGAGTCTGCTGAATCCACAGAAGCTCATCAATTTTCCTGTGGGAGAACCACTGGCATACTTTTACGGATTCAAAGATGAAATTCAACCGCTTTTAAAGTCGTCAAAGTTTTTTGGCTGGTAATTAAAACCGCGTGAAACCCTTTACTGACGGTAATCCGCAGATACCCCCCTGCCATAATTCACTCATAAATCAGACAACGAAAAGCCATACATCATAGACACCGTGGGGAATCCCCCAAAAAAAAACATACACAGAGTTGACAAAGCTGCAAAAGTTATTTTGTAATTAGTGCAAAAGGCAAAGACAACGGGAGGACGCTTCGAGGACGAGGACACAACAGGCCCAACAGGATAATGATGATTATGCTGGCGCAATGAAATTGAAGACGACTTTCTGCCGAAGCTGCACTAATTACCGCTGACGTGCGATGGGAACCGGGAAGCCAGGCCAGGATTTCTCCGATCCCAGGATGAAACTCTGTCCGGGGGACTGTCAACTCAAGTTTGACACTTTTTTGCTGACAATTTATGAGAGCGGGCCAACAGCTACGGTTTCTGATTCGGGCACAGTGGTTGTTGGATGGCAGTGAAATTCCAAGAACAGATCCTATTTTGTTTAGAAATGACTAACAGTTAAATAAGGACATATATTATTATTTTTGAATATTTTATCAAAGACAATTTTTGCTTAAATACTGGATCTAGGCGTATATCATGCATATAGAATATAATCCATTGTTGAAAAAAATATAGATCCTTTATACCGTGTATGATAGATTATACTTAATCTAAATCTAAATCGATCAAAAAGACACTAATTAATTAAATTCAAAATTAAAAGTTAAATGTCGTATTTTTTTACCATGAACATGATATATTTCCATATAATTTTTGGGTATCTTCGGTTTGTTGTATTTTATGGTCCTTTGCAAATACGATCCTACACATTATAGTCGAATTTCGATTTTTGGTTTTAGAATATTATGTCAAACAGCATTTGCTGAACTCTGGTCCCTCTGAAAAAAACTTATTTTTGTCCTTCTTAATTTTAAACTTTATGTTTTTGATCATTTTTATGATGATTCTTATGGCTAGTTTACAGGATAGGAGCAATATTAATTTTAATACCGTATGTTATATCTATTAAGCCAAGGTAACTTGTCGATTTTCTCCACTGTGCACGGTGGGCCGGCTGACTGACACTCGAGCCGCCTGACAACGCCGCCACTTAGTTTAGAGTTTTATGAGCGCAATTCGATTATTCTTCATTTACGTCAATCAATGTGGAGGCTGCTTTTAGACGCTGGCCGCGCACCCTTAATCGCTTTGTTTAAATAGTAAAACGCCGCATGGATTGGGAATTTTTCCGAAATTTAATATCGCAGTTGAGAGGCGGTTGTTGTGGTGGCTGCTTTCATTGTGCCGCCGTCTTGTCTGTGAAATTCTGTCTGCCCCGAAGTCTGCTTTTTCCTGTATCTGTATCTGTAGCTGTATCTGTATCCCTTTCGAATGCGAAAATCCCGCTGCTGTTTTGTTGACTTTCATTTCATTTCCCAGCTCGGCTGTCTCCTCGTCCTGCTTCTTGTTTATTTCGCTTTGCTGTTTACTTCCGCAACTTTATTATAGCTTTTGGCTGAGTTGCAACTGTTTGGCTGTTTGCTTTATGCTTATGAGGGCCGGGCCAACGCGTCGTATTAGCAACGTGGCCAGGACATCTGGAGGGGATCCTGGAATGGGACTCCAAACGGAAGCAGGCATATCCTTGAGGCATAGATTGCTGGTTGGAGGATGGGAATCCAGGCAGTTGCTCAAGATTATTGGCTACTCTAAGTGGTCATCGAGAAAGTGGACTTGGGAAAGAATTAGCCTTACCCATTCAAACTTTGAGGTACCTTTGTCTTGTAGGAAACTATACAAACCTCTTATCATGTATTTAGATTAGTAGCTGTTACTTTAAATTGTGTTATTGGATTACTTTAATAAAAGCTAGTAAGTAAAATTATAAGTTACTTATGAAAACATGCCAATGGTTTCGATTATGTTTATCCTGTTACTATGTTGTGATTCGAAGTAACATCATAACATAATCATAAGTAACATAATTTAAATTTTTAATGTTCTTATAGAATTCGTTAAAAATACATTTCCGTAAATACATGTAATTCAATGTTTGGAGCTATTAGTGTTTAAAATTAGATAATGAGATTATGAGATTTTTATTTTGAGATTAATGGATGTCTCAAGTGGGTCGAGTTACTGTAGTAGGCTAACCCATTCTTAGAAGAAAGGTATTTAAATATATTGAATGGTAACATGACTAATAAAATGCTGTTATGTATTTCCATTTATGCCATTATATTTCTTGTTTTTTTCTTTAACAAATTAGAGCCATTAGTTGAGTAAAAAATCGCTTCAGTCTGAACAAACCTTGTGTGCAAAAATGTATGATTTATTGTTTTACAATTTAAGTGCTCTAATACAAATGATATTCCATGAGTTGGCCAATATAAAAAGCATCACGTACAAATTGAATCGATCAAATTGAAGAGAAGGGGTCTCACTTATGTGTAGCAGGTTAATCACCATGAGAAGAGCTTTGTGGATGCTCATCCATAAATCGTAGCATTTTTTCGAAATTTGTAAAGTTTGGAGCTAATTTGAGCCCCCGCCTCGCAGACAGGGGAAAATATTCAAAATGGCTGACATTCTATGAAAGCCGAGGCAAAGGACGCAGGACGTCTGTGTGCCGGGTGAAAAACAATGGAAAATGGCCTGGCAACATGTTAATAGCATTTCACGCACGACTGAGATTCGCATGCCAACCCAAAAAAGGTGGCACATTCCCATGTACCAGGCACGCTGTGATTGGTCCTTTTTGGCCAGGTGGTTCGGTGATTCCCCCACCGTGGCCCCAAAACTCAGCGGCTACTGTTGCCATCCGCCGTCGACCAATGCCGAAGGACGAAGGACCGCCGAAGGATTCTCGGGCCTGCGCAAAGGGATTCGTCGCGGCGAGCTTTTCACCACATCGAGTGCGAAGGGTGCAGATGCCTTGATTATGCTGCGGAGGAGCATAATCCGCTGGCAGGACATCCATCTGGGCAGAAAAGAAAGGCGAATGCGGGCGCTTTTAGTTTCACTTCGTGCGTTGTCCTGCTGAGGCCAAAAAGCGAGCCTGGAGCTGCGGGTATATAGCTGGGAAATTACATCTAAAATATATCTAAAATCAATTAATAAATAAGCATATATAGTGGAAAATAACTTAATAATAGTGTGTTTATAAAGAGTGATTCGAGAAAGTGCTGGTCTATAGCTAAAATCTAGAAAAAACTACGTTTCTGTGACTACGCCTCGTAATACCCTTGAAAAGAAAAACTCGCACATTCCAGTGGTTGAAAATTTCCAGTGTATATACTACGCTCCTCCCACCCCCCTCTCTCTTTCCCCACCTCTTCACTAGTTTTCCCCACCGTACATATATCATGTATACGTATATAGAAATGATACTTTCCAGAACTGAGATGGCAGCTTATGTATCCAAGTTCCACCGCCACCTGTCCTGTCCTCCGCCGATCTTGGGCTGGAGGTCTACCTCGTGGCTGATTTGGAACTGGATGTCACACAGTCTTCAGACAGAGTTGGATTCGGATCGCCATCGTCCTCGTCGTCGTCGGTTTTTTTTACAGACAACCTGCCGCCGGTCTCGTGGTCAAACTCTGTCTGGATGTTGTCGTCCCACATCCTAAGTTTTTAATTGGTTTATACAAAGTTTTAGGTTCTCCTATTTTATTTTTATTTTGCGGGGCGAGTGTTGCTCAGAAAATGTGAGGTTCAAAAATTCAAGACACTTTAAATTCTGAAAAACATTTATTACTTTTTTCATAATACACAATTTCATGTCATTTTACTATCCTACTTTCAGCGTATCGCGTAGTGTATAATCAAGCTATATAATCTGTTATCTGTGTACCTTATTTGTGATATCCTAACCAACAACCAACAAAATAGTTTAAAAAACTTAACGAATTTTGTTGCCTAATAATAAAAGCCAAGTTAACTACCAAATATAACTGTGCTTGAGTTCCAACTAAAGGACGATTACATAATCGGCCACCACTACGATATGGATTACGTAACTCTGGTGTGGCATGTAAGTAGGCGTTGTGGCCAAAGGTCAGAAGTTGGGGGGAAGATATTCAAATGGAATCAGTTAGGAATTTCGAGACTAGTCCTAACATTTTTCTTAATAAAAGAAATGCATATATGCTAACAATTTCAAAATTCCAGAATCTAAAATGGTATTTTTACTAGCTATCAGGAAATAAATATTATGTAAAAGTAGTCCAATACTCTAGTTATATCTATTTGAAAATGGTTTAAATTTTTTTCTAGTTTAATTCATTTTTTTAGTGCAACAACCATTTTTTTAGACAACTACAAAGATATACCCTTGAACAACATTTTTTATTGCCAATCTTTAAAAATGTTTTTTTTATTTTAGTGTTATTAACTACATTATTTGGATAAATCAAATATTTAAATTCCAGTTAAAACAGTATTTTCTGTTTCTATTTTAAAATATTTTTTTACTATTGAACAGAGATTATGGTAACCCAAAGAAGGCTCAAATTTCATACACCCACCAAATGAAGCATACAATGCAATCAAAATAGTCCACAAACCCAGAAATATTTACAAAATGCTCTGCCGGCTCAGGGTTACCCCTCATTCCTTTCAGCACTTTTCCCAAAAAATCCCAACAAATTTATGAACATAAGCGGCTTACAAGAAATGTGCAAAATGATGAAATTGTACGAGACTTTTGCTTATCAGCAGCAGAACACAAATTGTTGGACCCATTAATAACCAGAACAAAATCTCTTTCGCAGGCACTGTAAATGAAAATGCACAAACACAAACTCTACGAAAATCGAAATTATATGGCGACCAAGTGAAAATCCCCCGCTGAGCAGAACGAGCCAACCCGAAAATAGAGTCATCAAATTTGTGCTGGCTTCACGGAAATTAACCGCCGCCGATTCGCCACGCTTATATACACGGCAATCCGCCGTGAAGTAGGCAACAAAATATATTTATGCGCCCAAGTGATAACAGCGGAAAAGGCAGCGAAGCACAACAGGCACTGACTTTGGCCTAGGCGGAAGGACGAGACAGGACGAGACAGGACTCAGCGATCCGGAGAGAGGGGAGGAGTCAGGACAGGAGTCGGGAAAAACCAGGGGTACGACCACAGCATCGCCATGAAGGGTCTGACGGCGTTTAAGGAGAAGGCGACGGGCGTGTTTGGCGGGTGAGTCGAATATGATATGATACCCACACCCACAACACTAATCAGCGGGGTTTTGGTCTTAGAAAATACTAAGTTTGGGCTTAAAATGATATAATTTAAAATTCGTTTTTACTAGAAAGCATTAAAAACAAATTCTTTAGTTAATATTATACCTAATAAAAATATTAATCTAAAAAAATTTTCTTATTGCGAATGCCAGAAAAATCATTAGAATTTTAGAATCAATTTAAAGGGGCTGAAAAGTATGCTGTAAAAAAGAATGTCATAGAAACTTTAGATAAAACCATCTTACTTTGCTTTAATTATAAATTTTTTTGACATTTTTATTCTTATTGTTTAAGTCTACCTAAAAAATATGTTATAAAATAGACCATTTTAGGTGTCTGAAAGAATGCAGTGAATTAAGGATAGTTTTTTTCTGAATAAACTCATTGTCCTTCTGAGTTTAAAATATATTGTTGCATTCTTTTAGACACCAAAAACGTTATTTAAAAGTAATTTCTAAACCATAACGATTTGAGTGGCATCCCGGTATATTTTATTTGAAAAGCTTGAGATTTAGACAGCCATGACCATTTCCTTACTTTGCTATACTATTATATATTTTTTGTTGATAAGTGTACACCGATGACGAAGAGCAATATGCTTTGAATGAAATATGATTGCAATCAAATGGACTTTAGAAAGAACAAAAAAATCGAGTTTAATTTAACGCAAGGATGGTCGGTGTTCGTGGTTGGCTGAACTTGACCATGCCACGATAATGCAGTAAATATGTACCCACCGATATTGATACGCACTCCCGACTAGCCGGCGTCGCGAAACTTGGGCACGTGTCGCGCCCCCGGAAAGTTGTAAAATTATTGGCATGCTTAACAAGTCATTAAAGGGGGATGGCCAGGATTCGGAGGACTTTTAGGACTTGCCAGTAGTGGTGACAATGAACGCGCTGGCATGCCGACGAAGGAGCTCACCGGTGCCTCAGGAATTCCGGGCACGTTGGCAGCACGTGTCCGGGAACTTCAGCTCCGGCACCTTCGAATTCCCCGGGCAAAACACAATAAAGTCGTACTCTCTTCAGTATATATTGGACAAACACTCAATGAATGGAGGGGATGTGTGCGATCCAGGTATGCAATTTTATGGCCGCACCTCTCGCCTGATTTCTCAAGGACCTTGGGCGCTAAATTAGAAATTGGAACAATAGGTGGCACATCGCTTTCATTAAGGAATGTGTTGCATACCGACGAAGGGCTGCTGCATCGTTTAACGCAAATGAAATTGATTTTTACGACCCGATTCCGTTTCCGTTTCCGTTGCTAACTGCCAGCAGGACCTGCCGCTGAAGCTCTCGAGTGGCACTTGGCGCGAAGAAATTGAAATGCCTCATCGGGGGGGAGTGTTCAAGGAGTTCCTTTATCCTTGCCAGTGAAAATGAAATTAGAATTGCCATTGAAGACGCGGTCGTGTCGCTGACAATCCAGCATATTCCCCACCCATCCAATGCCGCAGCATCTCAGTTGTCAAGGCAAACAAACTAATACACACCACAAATACATATATTTGTATAGATCTGTGGATGTGCCCCATTTACATTTCTAATGGTCGCGTTTTTGTGGCCCCGTTAAAGTCAAAGGCGAATTCTACAAAAGCCTTTAGCTCGTGGCGCCAGTTATCCCTAATCTAGGCGGCGCCAAAAAGTCTGCAACATTTTTACTGACAATCAAGAAAGAACTTTAGCGCCAAAGATAGTTTGGCGAGACGTCAAAAAAATCCAGTTCCATTCAAGGATGGGAAATGATATCCGGTAACAGGCGAAGATGAGATGTTCTAAAATGAATAATGTTAAACATTTAAAAAAATTAAATGGAGGATTTTAAAATCTCTTATAAATATGTCTAAAAGTATGCAGCGAAATAGTAAAGTCGTATTGCGTAACATAAAATTTTTTATTGCATACTTTTAAACAGCTTTATAGTTGATTTCCTTCCTCCAATGAAATATCCTATACTTCCGATTCCTTAAGTAGTTAATTAGTTTGATTTTTAATTAAACTTCATATTTTCGATACAAAACTTGTTATACAAAAAGATACTTATATTCCATAGATTTATACTGGAATGCCTAATCTCCCAAGACCCTTAGATATTTTGTTGAAAAAACAATCGAATCATCTTTTGGTTCGTAACAAACCTAATGACGGACATAACGCAGCTCCCCTTTTTTGCAAAGGGCAAAAAAGAATTGCCGCATAAAATTGGCGTCAGCCTTAAAGTCGGTCAAGGCACAAATTTCTCGAAGGACATAAGTTGCTCCTTTGGCTCCGTTTTTTTCTGGTCTTGTTCAGGGGATCCTGCGTGACCAGACGAGGGTAGCTTTTGGCGGCAGACAGTTGAGTTATGTGACAGGCGGCGACTTCGACGACGACAAAGTTATATCCACTGTAGTGGCTTGTTTTTGGCTGGTGGCTGCTTATTAGTTTGTATTGCATACTTATGGGGACTTTGTCTGGATATTTATGAAGAAAAATTCCAAATCCCGAGTTAATGGCTTGGTCTGGGGTTGGAAGGTGGTTGGGTCACCCCTGTTTATCAGCCCAGGATATCAGCTAACAAACATCCATCAATCAGTCGCTGACAATGTCTTTTAACTGTGTTTAAACTGGGAAATCAAATCTTGAAATGCGATTGCGGATTTTTACCTGGCCCAATCAACTTTAAATACTCGCTGCCTTGCTATCAGCACTTAATAAAATTGAATTTTATTCCACACCAAGGACGGAAGTTCTGTCTGCAATTCCTCCCCTCGGTCACCGCAATTCCTTTGGGACCCTTGGGAAAAACAACAACCACCTTCGATGGTGAATTTTGGGGTGAGGGGTAGCAGCTGTTGCTGCTAACAAGCCGAAAATATTTGTGTTTTCACGCCCTCTCGTTGACCTGTTGATTTAACTTGCTATCCGCTCTAATTGGCATGAATTATGCCCCAGGAGATAATGTTTGAAATTGAGGAAATATCAAAAAATGCATAAATTCTATAGGCCTCAACAGAATGAATATATTTCCTTTAATACCTTTAAAATGATTGCTTACAATGATATATATTTATGATACATATTTTTGTTATTAGTCATCATAATTTGATCATCAAGTTTGTAACTTTAAAGAGCTTTTAGAATATACCAATTTTCTTTATCATTTTCATCAACACTTTTACACAAGTATTCATTAAAATAAAAAAGACTTAAAAATAGATTAGATGCCATTGAATATTAAAACTTAAATCTGATTAAATTTTATGATTTTTTATTTTATCTCTTTTTTTTAGCCTGAAGCCCAATATGGAGAAGTTCGAGATTTCGCAGGGTTATCATGGAGGTCATGGGGGCTACGAGGAGATGGAGGGGGGCGACCGGGAGGGCCGGGGACCGGGCGGCGGACACGCCTACGACGACGACGACGACCGGCCCGACTCGCCCGCCTCCTTCGAGGAGATCGAGCGCCCGCCGCTCCGGAAGATCGACAAGTACTGCAAGGCGGAGTGTCCTTGCATGCCGGCCCGCTACACCATCGCCACCATGGCCTGCGTGGGATTCATGATCGCCTTCGGGATGAGGTGCAACATGTCGGCGGCCAAGCTCAAAGGAGAGCACAACGGGGTAGGTGTCTTACTAAAATAATAATATCAGATCAGGCAATGCAAACTCAAGTTCTTCCGATTTTAAAGTTCTAATCTAATATAATTACATAATTTTATATCATTGAATCGTTAAACAGCCTTTAGCAAAGTATTAAAAATCAAATTTTAAAACAAATGTTAAATTTTATTTAGAAAACAGACAGTCCTTTTATTAAAATAAAAACCTGTACAATTTGTGTGCTTACTAAGAATATTAATTTTGAAATTTTAAAGAAGTTTGTTATAGTCCAATCCTCTTTTATATAAAATTAAAAGCCCTTAGTGTTTTATTTTATTGCAATTCATCTTATCTTATCCTTTAATGATTTTCAAAGGAAATATATATTTTTAAATTTGTTTTTAACTGTCTCTTATTAAATTCAAGTCACATCCACTTCCTCAAAGTCATACATTTTAAATTTATTAAATTGTCAGCATTAAATAAGCAGAAATAGAAGAGGGAGCCATCAAATTCGCTTCGTTTGCCGAGAAGCTGCTGTCAATTAGGGAGTGTGTGTGGGTATCCACCCACTCAAAAGTCATCCACAAAGCACCACATCCCCCACATAGAGGCATAGCAACCCATTGGAAACTGTGAATCCGGCTTGACGCTCGTTAATAAATGCCTGCAGCGGTTTTTAATGATTGTTGAGCTGCGCCACTCATCCCGTAAAATGTATTTCCGGATTTTTGCAGACTGTATTCATGAACTGGACGGTCGCCGTGGAGAGCCATGTGGACTCGTCCTTCTTCTGGGGCTACCTGGTGACGCAGATTCCCGGCGGCTTCATCGCCTCCAAGTTCCCGGCCAACAAGATATTCGGCCTGTCCATCGTGAGCTCCGCCACACTGCATCTCTTCGTGCCATTCGCCATGACCCTGATGCACGGTCATGTGGTGATTTGCGTGAGGGTCCTGCAAGGACTCTTCGAGGTACGTAGCCCATCGAACCAACCAACCAACCAACTTGCCAAATTCGATTTCGCCACAGATCAAAGCCGGGGATTACGGCTGCGTGATGTTGCGAAAATGGGGAGGGTTAGATTTTGCTTTATGATAAAGCAAATATGTGAAATGGAAACATGTCCTAAGCCCTCAAAGGGATGGGGGTCCTACCAGGGCAAGGGAAAAATAACAAAAGCATTTATTTTAATGCGATTTCTTTGTGTAAGGGACTGGGGAGTATGTCATTTTTCTTTGACGGAAGGGCAAGAAGGATACTTTGTCAAAAGGATGTTTGCTCATTCGATTTTGGCAGTAGCTAACCATTTCATTGTATGTCATTCATATTCTTTTATGGAGCTATTTAACATTCAAAAACTTTTTATGGTTCAGTGCATTTTTTATAATCATTTTTTAATTTCTTTAAATTCCTTAATAACATTTCTCAAAATGTTATTAAATTTCAATGATATTTTTGGGGACTATCTTTATTTTTTATTATATATCCAATAAAAATAATCTAAAATCATGCAAATATTCTACATTTTAGTGAGAAAATAGCTTATCAGTTTGATTAAATGGGTATTACAAATTTCTTAAAAAGTCGAGGAATTAACTTTATGTAAAGACTATTAAATACCTTTAAATTTACCGGAGTTACCTTTTTTTTCCACATCTCTTCCTTAGGGCGTTACGTATCCGGCTTGTCATGGCATCTGGCGCTTCTGGGCGCCGCCCATGGAACGTTCCCGACTGGCGACGTTGGCCTTTTCCGGTTCCTATGCCGGCGTGGTGGTGGGACTTCCGCTTTCCGGTCTCCTAGCGGATACCGTGGGCTATCAAGCGCCCTTCTACGCCTACGGGGTGTTCGGAATCATCTGGTATATGTTCTGGATATGGTTGTGCTTCGAGAATCCCCGGAAACATCCGGCCATCAGCATACCCGAGCTGAAGTACATCGAGAAATCGCTCGGGGAGTCTGCTCATCCGACGATGCCATCCCTGAAAACCACTCCTTGGCGAGAGATGATGCGTTCGATGCCGGTGTACGCCATCATTGTGGCCAACTTCTGCCGCTCCTGGAACTTCTACCTCCTGGTGCTGTTCCAATCCTCGTTCCTCAAGCACAAGTTCGGTTTTAAGGTGGAGGAGGCGGGCTTCGTGGGCTCCCTGCCCCACTTGATCATGACCACGATAGTTCCCTTTGGCGGCATGTTGGCGGATCACCTGCGAAAGAATGGCATCCTGTCCACCACCAATGTGAGGAAGCTCTTCAACTGCGGCGGTTTTGGGATGGAGGGCTTGTTTTTCCTATTCGTGGCGCATTCCTCAACGGCGGTGGGTCTTGCATAATTTTCCATATATTTTCTGAATTTATAGAGCTATCTCTTTCAGACGGGAGCCATGTTTGCCTTGACCTGCGGCGTGGCCTTCAGTGGCTTTGCCATATCCGGCTATAATGTCAATCACCTGGATATTGCTCCTCGTTATGCTAGTATCTTGATGGGTTTGTCCAACGGCATTGGCACACTGGCTGGCATCATTGTGCCCTACGCTTTGGATGGACTTATACAGGCTAATGTAAGTGAAGATTTTGGAAAGCTATAATGCTTTTATCTTACATTTCTTTGAAATAAACTTAGAGGAAATGTCAATTACTTTTGCAAAAATTACTGCCTAACCTCAGAACTTGTTATACATGAAACTCATATTATGAACATATCCCCCAGGAAGAATAATATTATTTTTAAATATTATTTTATTATTTTTATTTTAGCCCACTGGCTGCTGGACCACAGTGTTTACCCTGGCCGCCTGTGTTCACTTGGTTGGATGCACTTTCTATGGTATCTTCGCTTCCGGGGAGCTGCAGCCTTGGGCGGAACCCCCAGCAGAGGAGCAAAAGGTGTGGGCACCACCACCAGGTGCCATTACCAACACGGATCCTAGTCAGGCGGGCATGTTGGGCGACTACATGAAGGAAACCTCTTTTGTAAGTGTAATACCTTTGAGGTTATATGTCTTAAAATATTTTTAAAGATTTTATTTATGAGCAAATGATTTAAGAAATTCCTTTACTTTTGCATGTTATTAGTATATCAGAGGAATACAAAACTTTTCTAGCATTCAGTTCTTTCTAATTTTTTTATACAACATTCTGTAGTTGATCCAGTAATTAAATAAATAATCTGTTGTAAATTAGGGTGCCCCCGAGTACAATGAGCAGAGCCAAATGCAGCAGTCGAATGCCATTAGCTACGGCGCCACAGGACACGTGGCCAACAATCCCTTCGCCATGGCCGGAGGTGTTGCACCACCGATTGCAGAGGAGGATGCCCCACCGACCTACGGGGATGTTACCGATCCGGGACAGTATGGATACACGCAAGGACAAATGCCGTCCTACGATCCGCAGGGCTACCAGCAGCAGCAGTAATGGGTCACTGATATATATCATAGCTTTTAGTTGTAGTCGGAAATCGTTTGAAGTTTATTGTTTGTTCTTGGTGTGCCGTTAAAGATTTCCCCCCATTTCTCTCTACCCATTTGTTGAGTTCCATCGCTGAAGGATCCTGAAAGCCTTTCGGAGTTTTTGAGTATATTAACTAAAGAGTAACGAATTTGTCAGCGAATTAGGGGATTCCACATGCCACACTAACACAATGAAACTATGTACCTAACAGAGAAACTACATATGCATTACACATCAATACCGATAGCCATTAACATTACCGTTAGCCCACATAGACCCAAACTGGCCTAATCGATCTATATAGCATATATACTGTTAAGGCCTCGCTTGCGCGAATTTCTATTTACAAGCTCCGAAATCCAAATCGAAACTGCAACACAAGATAGGGAAAGAACTGGAAAAATAATCAACACTTGTGTATATCATATATCATCACATAATCCACACAAAGCCTATAATAATTATATTTAAATCGGTATAATCGTATATATATAGCCAAAGATTGTTGTTGAACTGCAAACTGCAAGTTTTATTACCGTTGATGATATTATCTTCCGTGTAAAGAGAACATTTTAATCAAACCCAAGCAATTGTTGATGTTCGGCACGAATGATAACCCTAAAAAGTACTAGCTAATCAAAGAGACATAATAATGTTCTGTTAACTAACTATTGTTTATGTTTGACTTTTTTAGTTACAAGTTAATGCACCGTATGCTTAAAATTACATGAGCAGGGCATGATATAGATACTGAATACAAACCACTAAAGTAGTTAGCCGTAGGCGCATATAACCTCAGACTTGGTCTTCATATGCTCACTACATTAAAATAATAATAAGCAAAAGGAACACCTTAAATAAATATTTAAAGAGGTCGAGTTTGAGTTTCCTTGCCAAAAATGTTGTACAATAAAGATTTTTCTTAACTTTACTTTTTAAAATATGTCCCTAAGAAATTTAATCGTTATGGATGGTTAAACCTTTTCTGAAGTAACTTTTTGGCTTGGAAATTCAAATATTCTAATTTATTATAAAAACTTTATTTAACATAAAGTATTTGTATTTTTTTGTAAAAATTAAATAACTCAATACTATCCCTATTAAATCTCTCTAAAGTAATAAATTTAAACATTTTCGAAATATTTAGTAGACTGTAAATAAATTCGGCGTTAAGTAATTTTAATATAATTTAATAAATTAATGCACCATACTTGATTTAAGAGCACAACTTTAACTTACAAAATGCACTGTTATTCCTTATTTTGTTCAGTTTATAGCACCTTTTCTAAATTTTATTTTAGTTAATAATTTAAATTAATACCTTAAATAATAACTGTCACACAAAACATATTTAGACGCACTTACTTTCGCACTGTTCAATTGAATATACAATTTACAAAAAATAATTTCTAATCGTCTGTATATTATCCAAACGTATTTAACTAGCCACAAATATAATAAATAACTATATAAAGGTAATTTAAATTATTCACATTTAAATCACTATGTATTAAAAACGTGAACATTTTCTAACTAAAAGAGTCAATTCTAATACCGTAATTTGTACAGCGCAGCGAATAAATACTCACGCAAATACTCGTATAGCAACTTTAACATAGCTAATATATATTACAATTTTAAATGTTTTTGGATAGAGGTTCCAATTGAAGAAAACAATACTGCTTGTGTGAGCGACAATACCTACTGAAGTAAGCCTAGTTAATAGTTAATCGTTTATATTCATCTATTATTATAATTTATTTACTGATTTGATTATAGGCTCAAATTTTTAAACGAATGCTTCGCGCAGGCAATTAAAAATGTTGGCCACTGGGGCGTATGTGTAATATTAGAATAGTTAAAAACCATTCTGTACATAAAACCATTTTATCAATTGAGTATGGCTCTTTTAATCGCGAGATTACAAAATTAGAGACAAAATCTTATGGATTTGACTTTTCTTCTATTATTTGTTTCGTTTTTGAGAGATACTCAAGCTCTCGGGGCTGTGTGGACAATAATGACATAAATATGTTAACCAGAAAGCCACGGTTATAACTTTTGCTTGCTAAGATATGAAAATAATGAAAATCCCTTCACATAACAGTTTGTAAATAAATGAAGTGTATCTCGTAGTTGAACGCCATCATTAAATGCTTTTGTGAGTAATTTAAGTGTACATAAAGCCACAAATAAACCGAAGCATAACTAAATCTTAAACGAGCGCAACTTTAATAGAGTTAAACCATCAGTTTTTGCTATTACCAGTCAGTCACACCAGAACAGGTTACATCTAGGGTATTTTAACTACTAGCCAAACATAAATGTTGTGCGTGGAAATAAACTACAAAACGCTAAGAAAATGCATACACTTTCATACAGAAATATAGGCGCACAAATACAAAACAGATATATGCTATTAACATAAATCATAAATATATTCAAATCATATAGGGGCTGTCTCCACAGAACCTTTGAAATATTGAAAACAGATGTAGTAATGATATTACCGCTATACTTAAACCGTGTATATAATTAGAAACAAAATATTCTTTGTGTTTACTGAGAGTTCTGTATACAAAATATAAAAAATATTAAATCAAAATTAAAATTATTAAACACAATCGGAGATCCCTTTTCTGGCAACACCCGCCCATGTTGTATAATTTGTATGGTAGCTAAACCAAGTTAAGATAAACACCTACTTATATATTTCAGTGTATGCTCATTAACAAAGAAACCGAATAAATATTCCTAAACATAAACGAGTAAATAAGACTCAAGACACAGGAAACCCAGTACTTATTTAAAAACAGCTTAAATTTGGTTAAACGAAATAATGATACAAACCTCTTGCATGAGATCCGGCTATACGAATACCGAATATTTGAAGGTCATGAAAAAAGAACAAAATTATACCCAATGAAATGTATTTGGAATTCAATAAAACGAACATGTTAAAAATTATGCCAAACAAATTGAGTTTTTTATTCCACAGAAGTTTCAGCATAAGACTTAAATATTTATTTGTACAAGTCCCAACGAAAAATGGCTGTATTTAGAACTAACAACAAAATATGAAATAAATAGGTATCAATTAGGAAACAAGCTAAATCACATGAGTGCTACGGTGTAAAAGATGCATAAATTCAGGCGGTTTTCCAAACGATTCAGACACAAATAAATGTAAAATTCATTTTCCGACTTGACCGAGTTTAAAAGCATTATCTCCGTACTCCCTGGTACTCTCCATTCGATCGTCCCTTGCCGGGAAATCCTCTAGCAAAGGGCGCCTTGGCATTGGTGGTCACATAATAGTTCCCTCGAGCTCTATAGGCAATAAATAGAATTATTATAAAAATGTAAAAACTCGGAGTTACGATAATACTTACTTGTGTGAACAGTGTTCTCCCATTAGCACATATTCCGAGTCCTTGGGCTCACACCAACCTATCAGATAGGAAAACAAGTTCGGACAAGGACCCGCATAAAATCCCCGAGTCGTGGTTATGGATTCTATAAAGTAGGGCGTGACTTTCGTGTGATCACAGGCCAAGGTTTCTAAAAGAACAGTAAATAATATTAAACAGTTAAAATAAAAGATAAAGTAAGAAGCTAGTTTAGGTACTTTAAAATGGATATTTTCAAGGTCAATTTCTCAATGTCCGGTTAAGGTTTTTGTTTGTTAACTGTCAGAGAAAGAAAGCATTTTTGCAGACCCTAGCAAACCTGAGAAAGGAGAATCGTCTAATTTAAATAGTACATAATCTCCAATGTGATATTGAGATATGACTTTCAATAAAGAAATTAAAATCAACGAAATAAGTTAACATGACATTGAGAAATTGGGCCATAAAATGATTAAAAATCTGGTAATACTCACGAAACAAAGTGGCTGATCCCACACAAGCTGGCTGCCTGGTGCCTCCGTTGACATAGAAATCCGCATGACCACTGGAGTGCCATTGGCCAAGGATTCCTGCTCCTGTATGGACGACATCCACAAAGTGGGCATCCGTGGTATCCAAATCCCTGGAGTTGTTTGCTCCCGCATAGAAGAATATCGTTGGATCCAGCGCAGTAATCCTGCCCAGCTTTCCCTCCTCCGGTTTCAGATAGTTGGCCACCAGACCGGCTATGTGGGCACCCACACTATAGCCAATAAAGTGCAGATCATCTGGCTGAACTCCTCGGGGATGTCGAGCGAGGTACTTGACCAGCTGGGAGATGCACAGGCTGCCAAATCGAGGAGCCCAGTCCATCTGACTCAAACAGGGTTCCTTTACTGCATCCGCATAGTCCACTATGATGATGTTATACTCGCCCACACTGAAGTAGGCCTCTCGAAGATCGGGACTTGGACTCAAAGTACGACCTCCTCCAAATCCATGGATGATAATCTTGGTAGGATGACCGGGATTGAAGTGGGTGTAGTACAGAGCATTCGCATCCAGGACATCGATGAATTCCGGCTGCTCCTGAGTGCGTCTTGTATAGAGATAGAATTGTATCTTCGGGTGGGGACAGCGGTAGGGCTTTTGCAGGCAAGAATCTGTCACATAGACCTGAGTTTGATTTTGTCCAGCCGCCACCGCCGCGGCAACAACTCCCGCATTTTGGCCAGCTGTGTACATATACATATGAAGGATGTGAGATTGAAAATTCAAGATTCAAGATTTTAGTTGACAAACAAGTTTGGGCTCTACGACATTGCATTTAATTACATAAGCCCCTAGCAGCGACATTGAATGCTTGCAATTTGGCACGACGCAAATGTCATGCGATTCATGTTGCAGTTGCAAAAGTTGCACAAGTTGCAGAAAGTAAAAGTCAGACCAAAACGGAAGTGACGCTACATTGTGGCTCACTCACTACTCATTGCTCTTTGTTTGCCATTTGCACCGCAATCGACTGGGTTTATTTTTGACAAAACGTGCTGCTCATGATATAACTAGAGCTGCGATCTGGCAACTGGATGCGGAATGAATATGCGTAATTTATTCGTATTTATGAGCTTCATGGGGGTAGGAAAACCCATTTCAGATCGGCTTATCTGACACTTGGGCTCGTTGGCTGCGAACAGATATGCGCCAAGTGGTTCGGATTCGCAATTGTTGGGAGTGGGTTTCACATAGGTCGTTATGCTACTTGAGTTCTCCATTAAATTATTGGGTATATCACCCATTACACGCTTAACTTATTTGTTTCAAGTACCTATTGTCTTATTTTTAATTTTATTTAATTTACTTGGGTTTCTATTAACCATAATAATAATCTTTAAATGTTCTTAAAATCATATACCAAATATTATTTAGAATTTGAAAGTGAAGTTTTACATTTCCTAATGTTTACTTGGTTGTTTGAATATCTTTGTATAATTTAGTACACTTAAAAACAGATAATAGATCACTTATCCTAACATTGTTGTGATTGTACAGGAAACGCCTAAAGATCAATAACAAAATTATAAAAATTCCAAGGTATTTGAATTGAGGTGTCTATTAAAAGCTTAATTTTCGAACTAGTTCCAACTATTTTTTCCGTCAGCAGTGTTGAGCTCACCGCATGCGTAAGAAGTCGCCGTAATGCGGTTTGAATCCAAATGGCCAAATTAAAAATCGAGAATCGGCCTTCAACCAACTCAGTTGGTGGCGCCCAAAATGCTAACCAGCAATTGGCCCACTTGTGGTTGTAGCACTAGTAGTTAGACGATAACCGAGAGTCATGCAACCGGTCTGGGAAACTATTGCAGATGCAGACTCTTGCCGGTTGGGTGGGCACTGGAAATACCCGAAGATATCGGCTGCCTTATAGGGCACATATGTATGATCGTATACCCCAGCGACACAGTGAACACGGCACGGCTTATTACACTCCGATTTCGATGACAAGTGCTTGTAAGACCAGCAGCTGGTTAAATTAATCATGCAATAAGCGTTGTTTTACATCAGAGACCGTAGCATAATGCCACTCAACCGCCCACCGATGTACGAGATACAGACAACAAAAATGTAATTTTTAAAAGCCATTAAAGAAACTATGAAATTTTATATCATTTTTAGGAAAAAAATAAAAAATTAAGATTTACGATCACTTTTTCTTGTATATATTTAGATTTAAGATCACTTTTTCTAGTCCTATAGTCTAATATTTTATGAAAAATAGAAAAAAATGGTTATTTATTTTAAAACTTGTATTTAAAAACGATAGGATCAACACCTAAGATCCCCCTTTCTTTCCCTGTAGACAACATATAATTCCCCACCCGCTCTTTTCACTCTTCAATTAGCAATGGGCTGTGGTCGCGGTCATGCCTCAATTGTCTTCAGTTTGTCTGTTTTCATTTGTTTTTCACAATCGTTTATCTCTGACTTCGTGAGCTGCTTTTCCCATCTTATGTAAGCCCACCTCCTACCCCTTTTCACCATTTCATTTTCCATTCGGCCATTACGCATGCCAATTAAATGACTGTCTTTTTTTTTGGGTTTGTTTATACTTTTTTTGGCGGGAAAATTTCATGGGGAAATTTTGGTACTTCGGGGTTGGCCGGAAAACTCTGTCCAACTAACACAAATCAAACCCAAAACGGAAGGAGCCGAATGCGGAAGGTGGAAAACAAAGTTGGACGCGAAACACGAAATACTCATCGCCTGGTAAGTGAAAAATGATTTTGGGTTGGCTCGCTTTTGGCTCGCTTTTGACTTTGTATTTTCTTTCAGTTTGTGGGTTTTTGTGTTTTTTATTTGCCGTGAGTCATGGACATTGTTTGGCTGGCTTTTACATTGGTGATTATTGGCCAATTGACTTCGAATCGATATCGAGATTTGTGTGTCATAACCTTAAGGCTTTGTAGTGTTGGCTTGAACGGTGCAAAATATATTGCATGTCTTGTATTTCATTATAAATGCCTAATTATAAACAAAAATTCTTGAAAAATTGTTTTATTACAGGCTTTAAACAAACTGCTGTTGACCTACTTTAAGGCTTTAATTGCTTGGGTTCATTAACCTGCAGCTTGGCCTAATGGCAGTCATCCAAAATTACTGTCATTCTATATGAAATGACTGCCGTGGCCCTCTGATTCCATCTGAATTCAAAACTTGACAATGACACGCACCCCGCAATGCGCATACGCCCTGTATGACCCTTTTTATTAAAGGCAGGCTATAAATACATGCTAAAGTGTTTACAAAGAGTGTCAAGGTGTAGGGGCATAAAAATATGAATATATAATATATAATGAAGCAGCCGAAAATTTAAGATATTCCAGGGTGGTTTAAAACAGTAGTGGGGTCAATTAATTAACTTGGCTACGTGAGACAACAAAAGTCACACCATGACAAGGCAGCATTTTTGTGTGGGATGAGCACTACAAAATATTTTGGTACTTGAAGAGAGGCTTTTCAAGATATTTATATTGCTGTTGACCAAGATGTGAGGCAAGGTCGAAGAAAATGTTGGTAAATATTGTGCAACTAGTTGAAAACGAAATTTAAGACGATGCCAATCTGAAGTGTCAACAGACACAGAAAAAGCGGACACAATGACAGGGCCAAAAGAAAGGTACCAAAAATATTTAACAAAATAGGTGCCAGGCAGGGCGAAAGTAAAAGTTTAACTTAAGTTTATCTCGTTGGGTTTCTTTTAGCACAACACATACGAACCGGCGAATTCCAGGCGAAAGAGTGTAAAACTCACGCAGAGCAGCTGCAGCCAAAAGTCTGCACTTTTCGGTTTCCTCACAAACTTTGGCCACATGTTTATGTATTTTATTTTTATATTTTGGCAAATTCACGCTACTTTTAATTGCAATTGCCAGGGCGATTATATAACTGGGTTGTATTTAGTTTTGTTAAACCGAATCTCTGAACTCTTGTGGGCTTTGGGTCAAGGCCTGCTCGTTGACCGGCGACACAACCGTCTCAAAGTGCAAAACTCTTTCTTAAACACCAGCTCAAGAGCTGGTCATTGGACCCGATTTCGATTTCAATGCACAACAAGACGACGACCAAGCTGGCGAGGCATAATTCCGGCTGCCTCCGCACAGAAATTGATTCAGTTTTGTGTTTTACCACACTTCTTTTATTTTTGCGGGCACGCGCGGTCTCCCGAATGGTATTGTATTGGATTCGATAGGGTCGATCTAGGCTTTCTCCGCCTCGAAGGTCGCGTACACATGCGATTTGATTGCGCTCCGTCGAGCCACTGAATGTCGAGTTCGTTGCCGAAGTCTTTCGTTTTGTGGCTGCCCAAAAAGTTCGCACCGGCGCACAAAAGCTCGCTCTGCTTGGAAAGCTTTCGGTCTTGTTTTGGTATTTTAATACTAACTGAGAAGCTACTGCAAGGGTTTAAAAAATATTCCAGCTACTAAAAATAAGTTTTTTCCATTCAACTGTACAAGGCAAAAAGTTTTCAGAAAAAGCACATAAAATGATATATTACATTGTGCTACTATAAATATTAGCGATTCCCTTTTTTATTTTCCCATTTCTTTTACATAAAAGGAATTTTTTTCAATTAACTCCTTCTTAAATAAATTTTAACAAAATACTTTACTAAAAATATGTAAAAAATATTACTATGTATGTGATATAAATGTATGTAACTATAACTATAACTTTAACAATAAATAACATTCCTATCTCAACTTAATGCTAGTTCCGTTAATTTACGAAACTCCGAAACATCAAATTCGACTTCAACAAGAGGTCCTTTAGCAAATGGAGAAACCTCGTGGGTAGTGAGAAAATATGATCCCGTGGCACTAAAAATAAAAAAGGATATATCAGAAAAAAAACAATTGGAAACCTTAGTAATATCATACTTATCCGAGACAAAGTAGCCCATCTGAGTATTGGGCATATTGGAGTAATGGCTGCAACGCTGCGAGAAGAAGTCGAACCAGCCGCCGCACTGCTGGGCCCAAAAACCCCTCCCCGAGACTATGGACTCTCCATAGTAGACGGCTGCCCTATAATGATTGCAATTGTAGAACCTCCAGTTGCTGATGTAACTGCATCCCCTCTGGTTCAGCTGGTCAAGATTGGGATAGAAATCCGCATGACCCATGGGCGGCAGCATGGAGAAAAAGAACGGATCGGTGTGTATGATGTCCACGAAATCCGCATCGCTGGCATCCAGCTTTTGCTGCAGCGAAGCCTGCATCATAAATCCTGGACCCGCTGGGTCCAGACCCGTAATCCTGGCCAGAGGTTGGCTCACATAGTTGGCCACCATTCCAGCCACTTGGGCACCCAAACTAAAGCCTATCAAGTGGATATCCTCACGTCTACTGATGCCAGCGGATATTAGATTGTTTATCATTTGGGCCAGGCACTCGGAGACAATGGGGGCATTATTCACGGCCCAAGGATAATAACATGGCCACCGCACCAAAGTCTCATAGTCCACCGATATCACATTTACTGGCTGAGTTTGGAGCAGCACATCTCTGACCTCCAGGTTGGGTGTCAAATTCCTGTTTCCTATAAACCCATGAATGAGTATTTTCAATGGCAGACGAGGCTCGAAGAGCTCCTTTTGCAGATTCAAAGGATCCAATTGATGGGGATCATCGCGGGTTTTGCTGGAGGATAATAAAAATCAACTCCACTCTTTAGTTTAGTACTAAAATCCACTCACTTTGTATAAAGCCAGAAGGAAATCCGCGAATTGGGACACTTTTGCTCGCCGAAAACACAAAACTCTGGCAGCCAGCCTCGCAGCTCTTCTTCACAAAAACCGGAGATTATTAGGAGGAGGATCGCCGTACTAGATTTGCTCATGACTAAAGTCTAAACTGCTCTAAGCTCGCGTTCTAACGCAAGTTCTATTAAATTTGCACGGCCTAACATTGAAAATGGCATGTAAAATGAGGGCCCATATAAAAAGAAAAAAATACTGGCAGGTGATAAAAAGTCAAGGTGGCCAACGGTGGTTAGAAGGTGGGTGGAGAACAGTGGGTTAAGGTCGCTGCGGGTGGGGTTAAGCGTTAGAAATTGGTAATGAAAATGCTATAGTAGATCAGAGCAGAACACAGAACGCTACGATTTATGGATGAAGGTTACTAGGAATGATTTTTAATTAACAAAAAATAAACTTGGTTTTAGCATTTCTTTATAGTTATGCATGCTTTAAATAATGGTAATGGTAATTTTAGGTACCCTTTTCCTAATTAGGGAGCTCTCCATTACCGGAAACCATAACTTTCTTATGTCTAAACTTGTGTTATAAATAAAGTTCCTTAGCGTATTCAAATTTTATAAGAGTGAGTTATATTTTTTATGTAGAGATGTTACGTAAAATTAAATCAACATTTTGTTTATTTCCTTATAAATAAAGTTCCGTAGCGTGTTCAAATTTTATACAAGTGAGTAATATGTTTTATGTAGAGATGTAACGTAAAATTAAATCAAAATTTTGTTTAATTCCTTTTTAAAGGTCCAGTCTAAAAAACTTAATTTTCTTTATTTTACATTCTACCTTTTAATCGCAAAAAATATATACCAAAAATAAAAGAAAGAAAGAGACAAGGATAAATATCCTTTTACAATTAATTTAATTTCGTTTTATTTCCATAATTTAGTTTTTAACAAATAATATTCTATGTTAGCTCCTATTTAATAATATTTCTTGACAAGGGTTCCTCTTCCTCGCGATCGACCCAGTCCAATTGCCTATCCAAGTCGTCCTCGTCCATTTTGACAATGACTTTCACCGCATCCAATTCAAGGAACGCCTCCAACAATTGTGGTTCGTAGTCATCGTCGATCTCATTGTTATCCAGGTTGAGATGGAATTTGGCCAGGGTCTGGCTGTTGTCCACGTCCTCCAGTTTGCCCAGGGCAAAGGGTGGACTACTTCCGGTCTTGAGGAAGTACGAGCCCCTCAGCTCCTGCGATACATGATAGCCCATTTGCGCCTGAGCTCCAGTTGTGGGACAGAGTCCAAGAAGATGGACCAACCAACCGGAACAGTAGCGTCCCCAGAATCCCACTGTGGAATTGATGGACTCGGCGTAGAAGCGGGGAGCTCTCTCGTGGTTGCAGCTGCCAGGATCCTGCATATTCTCCTCCATGCAACCAGGTTGCTGGGCCCCGAAATTGGGATAGAAATCCACATGACCCGCGGCGCGCAGCACTCCTCGACCAAAAACATCCGAATGGATGACGTCCACAAACTCCGCATCACCCGCATCCAATCTCCTAGAGTCCGGTCCCAGGATAAACAGAGGCTTGGCAGGATCTAGACCCGTAATCCTTTTTAGCTTTCTCTTCAGATAGTTGGCCGTCTGACCAGCCACCTGACCACCCAAACTGAAGCCAATCAGGTGGATTTGATCGTTGGGCACTATTGCACGATCCACCAGGTTGTTGATCAACTGCGCCAGACACTGACTCACCAGGGGAAGATTCTGTACCGCCTGGATGTAGCAGGGATATCGCACCAGTGGTCCATAGTCAATGGAGATTACGTAGACATCCTCGTTATCCAGGAGCACGGGGCGGATGAAGGAATTGGGTGCAAAGTCACGGTAGCCGGTGTAGCCATGGATGAGGATCTTGAGGGGCCGCGGCGGCTGGAAGTCCCAGGGATTGAGGTCCAGGGGATCCAGCAGTATGGGATTCTCACGGGTTGAGCTACATTAAAAAGTGGAATTTTGTTATACATCTTATATTATATTATTATATTACATACTTGGAGTACAGCCAGAAGGACACATTTTCATGGGGACACTCTCCTCGAACCACTTTGCAGGCGGGATCTATAAGACCCACCAGCGGATTGGCACTCGCACTCCAGAGAAGAGCTGTTTATAAAGACACGAAATAATATAATCCCCTAATTTATTTAGGTCTTTAGATCCACTTACTTAGCAAAGAGAGCCCCACCGTCGACTTCATGTCCCATAAACTCGTACTTCTATGGCCGTGTGTAAACTGGGTTCCGGCCACCGAGAGTGGTTGCTATTTAAGTGGAGCAGGTATCGCAGGCAGCGATCTTTCTATTGGCAACTGATTGAGCCGGTGGCATACATATGTAAGCACCCACACAGGGGCAAATGGTGGTGTCAACTGGTGGGTTCGATTGGTGCCAAACAAGAACGAAAGTAGACGAAGTTCGCGTGGATGGTTGGGGAATACATTGCAAAGGAATGCCTTAAAATTACGATTTTAAAGGCCCATACGAAATATTTAACGCCTGAAATTTTTAATTTTAAACAATTTACACGGAAAAAGGCATGAAATAAATAATTTCATAAGAAGTTTTAACGTTCTCGCGACAACTCTTCTATAGTTTCAACAAATTATATTAATAAGAAAAGTATCACTTATTTAGAAGTCTTGAATGTAATAAACAAACACATAATTAAAACAAATATTATTTTGTAAAAAAGGTGTAAATTTGCCTAGTTGCCTCAGTGGAGTAAAGTTTTCACGGTTGAACTATTTTATAAATAAGTGAAAGTGAAGTATTAACTAACCCAACTCGTGTACACCAAAAATAATCAATGAACCCGTTTATTGGCAAATTATTAAGGCTAATTGGTTAGCCAACAAACTACTTAATTTACGTTCATCAAACAATTTGCAACTTTAAGGAGCCATTTGCATACACGTCCGTTTGTATGAAACTACTGCTGCACAATGTGGCTTAAAAATTGCTTACACTCTATTTAAGCTAATTTTATTAATTTTTGCCGGTTTTATGTGTTGCAATTTTCAGTTACATTTTATACGAGATACTTTTAAATTAACAGACTCTGTTAAGCTTGCATGTAAGCATAATATAGCAGTCAGCCTTTGACACATAGCATTAACATAGTAGGGGTGTTCCTGAAAATGTGTTAGGACTTAAAATATTAATAATTTTATAACTTTCCAAAAAAAATATACACAAAATTAGGGAAATGGTTTTTAGAACGCAGTATATCTAACATTTCTTAAAATTTAAGGAACTTAAAAACTGTTGATTATTTTTGGAACACCCCTCATTTTTTGGAGTTTTTGGTTTTTCCGCTTGAGGTCGCACTAATAAATATATAATATCTTCAGCTGTTTTGAAAATGATAAGTAAAACTGGAATTTCAGCATCGCTGATTAGGATCGCCCGTGTCCGAATCACCTTACATAATGGCCAAGCGAGAGACTTGGAAGCAAATGCGGCAGATCTTTGTCCAGGCGGTGGATGCAGTGCATCCCGGGAAGATATTCGCCGACTTTCAAAAGTTCGATTTGCGGCCCCAAATCGGTGAGAACCCAAAGGATATCACCATAAAACTGAATGGAGAGCGGCAGGATATCAGCGGGAAGACCTGCCACATCGTGGGATTCGGCAAAGCAGTCCTGGCAATGGCCAACAAAGTGCATCAGGATCTGGGAGCCTGCTCAGCCGGCGGAGTCCTTAGTGTCCCGGTAAACACTCTCAAGCAGTTCCAGCACCACATTGCATCTGGTTTGACTGTCCACGAAGGAGCAGCCAACAATCTGCCGGATGAGGCTGCTCTTAAGGCTGCCCAGGAGATCAGGCAGCTAGCCGAGAAGATGACGCCCCAGGACATACTCTTCGTTTTCATCTCTGGCGGTGGTTCTGCACTTTTGCCCTTGCCACGACCACCTTTGACCTTGGAGGATAAGCGCAGCATTGCGGATAAGCTGATGAAGCGAGGAGCCAGCATCCAGGAGATTAATGCTGTGAGGATCGCCTGCTCGGACATCAAGGGCGGTCGCTTGGCCAGATTCGCCAGCCAGGCAGGACTCCTGGTGACCTTTGTCCTCAGCGACATCATCGGAGATCCCCTGGAGCTGATTGCCTGTGGTCCCACCATCCAACCCGTGGCCGGAGAATCACCATCCATCATCCTCAAGAAGCATCAGGTGTGGGAGGAGCTCTCCTCGGAGGTACAGCAGGTGTTTGAGGTGCCAGAAGAGCCGGCTAACCAATTTCTACCCGAGCACAAGGTCTTTGTGGTGGGCAGCAATGTGATAGCTACTTCTACAGCTGCCGAGGAGGCCGAAAAACTGGGCTACATTCCCTGTGTGCTCAGTTGCGCCGTTCAAGGAGATGTGGCTCAAGTGGCTGGCGACTATCAGAGATTGCTGCATGGAATCCAGGAAGCCAAGCAGCAGGGCATACGGGATTCGGCGCTCAGGGAGAATTATGCCTTTGGAGAGAGGAGTTACCCAATTTTCAGGAGGGCCCTAGAAGAGCACCTAAGCAGCAAGAAGCCGCTGTTTCTGATCTGTGGAGGCGAGCCAGTCATTAAAGTTTGTGGAATCTATTTACATATCGATTAATTATTAATTGTAACCAAATCTTCCAGGTCACTGGCCAGGGATTGGGTGGCCGGAGTCAGCACTTGGCGCTGCTAATGTCGCAGGCTCTGCACCGCGACGAGGCCATCAGGGATTGCACCTTCCTGAGCGCTGGAACCGATGGCATCGACGGGCCCACCGATGCAGCCGGAGCCATTGGAGACAGCAGCGTGGTGGAGTCCTATCTGGGTGATCACACCCTCGACGAACTGGCCGAAACGCTGAGAAACTGCGACAGCTACAACTTCTACAAGAATCTCGCGCAGGGCGAGCACCATGTGCTCACTGGACACACGGGTACCAATGTGATGGATCTGCATTTCCTGGTCGTGCCTTAGTCTGTAACGCCCCCGCCCATTAACACATATAACATATAGCACATATAGATGTGGGGCAGTTCGTTAATGGAGCTGCTCTTGAACCGCAGACGGGCAATAGTCGTTTAAATTTGTTTTTACGATTTTCCTCTTTAATTTTGCTCTATGAAATTTTTACGACTTTTTTCATTAACATTTTTAATATCCATTCAAATTCAAATAATTTTGTGATCTTTATGCTCTGAGACGGTCTTCAGTGACAGCATAAAATGGCAATTAGCTTTCGTCTCCGGTTATGAAATCAGCCTGGAATTGTCTTGATTGTAATTATGTGCCAGGCGAAATAACATCGAAACGAACGACAGATGTGATAAATCAATTTGTATATGCGATCACCGCAGAGCATAAATATATATATCTGAGTAATTTCCATTTAATTTCCATTTCTTTTGTACTGCGTCTCATAAAAATGCGCTGCTAATAAATCATCTTAATTGTTCGAAACGCCAAAGGCAAACAGTAGCCAGCGAGCAACTACAACAATAGCCAGCGATAATTGCAATTAAAAATGTAAATTTATTTGCTTCGCTTTATTTTTAGAAATACTGAAAAAACTAAAACGCGACGCGCGCCCAGTTGCAATTTAGCAATTTTTACTAGCTAACACTTTGACTGCATATTTTTCTAATTGTGATTGTTTTGCCTTTGCCCGCTCTATCAACGCTTCTTATTGTTTACTCCGTGTGGAACACAAGTAGATGTAGTATAATTATTTTGCCGCGCATATGCCACAATTATTAAATAATCACATTCGCCAGTCACTCTCTTGTGCTATTTTCGCTCGATTAGGTTTGTTATTAACTACATTCTGTAATGCATATGCCATTAGAGATGACTAAGTTCCGATTCCTTTGAAACTATACTATGACAAATCTGAGATCTCTATTTGCGGGGCAGAAAAGTCATTTGTCTCTGTGATGGATTGTCATTAGATATCCAAGTTTTGATTAGTTAGGTGGAGCAAACATTGATGAATATTGTAGAGTTTGTATGTATATTATTGAAATGAGCTAAGAGGAAGTGTGAAATTATTCAAGTACTAGATGTTAAAGATATAAACTAGATAATATTTCAGTTCTTCAGAATATCTTTTACACATTTTATAATACAGTTCCAAATACATTCCTACAAATGTACTATAAATATGTATATAATTTTTATAGGAACCAAAAATCTATTACATGAAGAGATAAGAAGATTACTGAAGAGATTACCAGGAAGTGCCTTCAATTAAGAGCTCTTCTGCCCACTGGTGGTCATGTAGGGCCCACTCGAAGATCCGTGGCTGGCGATTAGAATCGTTTCCGTTTCCGCTTTGATGGCACAGATGTCATCATCGGCCAGATAGGCAGCTATATTTAACATTTTTATTAGCCACTGACCAGTGACCACCAGCGACCAACTCCCCTCCCACAGACTTGGAATGTCGCGTCAATTTGTCTGGCCGGGCATGGCAACAATCTCGGCGAGCATCTCATCCTCATCATCATCATCAGAGATGCGGCCATCGGCAAGATGGAGTGCAAGTGTCGCGTTGATTTATTAATTAAGCATTGGAGCGCGGCAGCTGAGCAACGCGTGGCAGCTGACGACGATGCTAATGAAGTACTCGCTGGAAATTTTAATTAACGATCCCCGATCCGATCGCCATATAGCATAGATTCTTCTGGTGTTGACTTATGACATCACACCCAGAACAGAAGAGCCGAAGAACAGTGGAACACCAGCTGGCAGCGATCTCATTGCCAGACAAACTGACGACGCTTATCACATCATATGTACTTACAAAAAAAACGCCTCTAAAGCACATTGGGGGACATTGCGCATACGCCGCGTGGCCCCAAAGCTAACAATTAAACACTATTCACCGCAACGCCTCCGGGCGACATACATAAATTTCATTCGCTCGACTCTGCTCTTAATTTGTCTAGACAATGGCAAAGTTCACTCCGAACAAATATAATATAGGCAAAGTTCAATTAACGCTCTTGTCACATGCCTTAGTTGGGGGCAAATGGATACAAATTCGAGAAAAGAAGAGGAACGGAAAGCCATTTGCATTTTGCTGGGAAATCGTCTTGACTAACCCCCATATGAGTCATGTTTGAAGACTTTCGCTTGGAATCTCTTAATTTGAAGCAGATGTGTGGGGGAGATTTTGGGCGACCTTTGAGGCGAACTTTTGTGGCAATGAACTTGAGAAATCTGTGGTAATTTGGAAAGAATGCTTAAAGAACATTCACTTCTTCGAAACATAAGCTTAACTTATTGTAGAACATTTTTTAATGTATTTAGAAATTTGAAATACTCCAACTAGAGTTTGCAAAGGGTAAAGTTTAAAAGCTCGTTAAAATTTAATTTTACACGGTAAATAGCCATAAAACATGTTTAAAGTTTTAGATACGCCTTAGTCTAAATAGACTGTAAAGTAGAGATGAAGTCTTAACAAATTTTCTCAAGATCAAGTAAGATGAACTGGCTGGTGATTTTGGTCCTTGGAGTCTTCCTAACGATTGTGATGGCTGAAAACGAACCCTATGTGTGCGATGGAAAGGACGACAGGGTCTGCGATGAGTATCGATGCATCTGCCGCAGAAGGACTACAGAACGGTATCCAAATACAGAGTATGAATTTTGAATGAGAAATACAAAATAAGTGAAGTTGGTGTGTTTTAAATTGCTTTGAAATGTCAAGATCGAATTGCTATATTAGTAAATCAACATTTAAACATCAAAAATAGTAGTTATGGAAGTAAATTTGTATATTGTGTTTTATAAAAAAAACCTGAAATAAATAAAAGAAGCATAAAATATATGAAGTACTAGAGGTTAAGATCATAATACTTGTTTCATTCAAATACAATTTATAGGTCAGAAATGCATTTCTGAATATTCTTAGCATGGGCAGCGGAAATAAAGTTGTTTTCTCTTATAACCAGTTCAAATCTTCAAAATACAATTAATTTTAAAAGGTTTGGCTTCCCATAAACCTTTTCCCATCTTGCAACATTCGAGCACTGATGTTCATCGCAACAATTATGTCTAACCGATGTTGGCATTAATAATTTCGGTCTGCTACTTGCCATTTATCAAAAGCATTGATCTCCCCATATGCCGAATGGGCAGCTTAATGTCAATCGTCTCTTTTCCAAGCTCTTGGTTTTTTCGATTTTTTCGATTTTTTCCCCTGAGCTCTGGACCATTAATGCATTACAAATAGGTGCGGCAGACCGCAACAGCAACATGGGTAAAGGGACTTGGCCACAGACGCTTCGGTGCCGTTGACCAACGTGACTGAGATTGAGATTGAGGACTGCCTCTCGCTCTGGCTACCTGAAGATGGAAAAAATCAGAAATCGGAAAACAAAAATCCAGCCAGCAGACGACCTCAAGTGTAAGGCAGCGCAATCGAGTTGCTGGTGCAGCAGCAGCAGCAACAGCAGCAGCAACATGCAACATCCATAGTCCAGAAGCAGTTCAAGTTTGCGCCGAGGAATTCCTTGCCGCTGAAATAATTAAGCATTGCAACATTGTTTATTGTTGCTGCTGCTGCTGTTGCAGTTGTTGCTGTTGCTGTTGGGTGTTGCAGGCTCGTTTAACAAGGCAGCCAAGTTCTCAACAAGTGCCTCCTCCTGTTCTACAAGTTTTTGCCTCTCCACTCTGCTTTTTTTTGTTTTACTATATCTTTTTTTTTTTGCGGCTGCTGTTGGTGCCACTCTAAGGAATTTCCATTTTATTTACATTTAGAATGTGCCGAACGGACTCGTCGCATGTAAAGCGGGCCAAATCGAAAGCTATTAGACCTATTAGCATATCGGGCTGGAACATGAAAAATTTAGTGGCAACATTGTAGCCGTTGCGATAAACGCACTTAAAAATCAAGCCACCACTCTTTTATTACCGCATCGAAATGCCATAATGCCGTAGTCCGAAAAAAAAGAATAGGAAGCATTCGTTACGTATAGAAAATATAGAGAAATAAATGTAGAAAATGCCAATCGATTGGCGTTCAATTGGCGTTTACCTGATTGTTGTGGCCAGCCCACAGTTAACTTAATTGCCACTTCCCAAGCGCTTTATTTACGGAAATGCTGTCCGCCAAGCGACAATTTTTACAGATAGAGAAATTTCATATACTGTTATGGGTTAACTTATAAAAGTATTAAAGAAAACGTTAAGAAAGAAGTTTATATTTTCTATTTTTCTATGAAATTGTAAGCTATAATAGTAAGGGATAATAAGGGATATATCCGAATCCCATGCTTGAGTGTCATAGCTCTTAGATTTATTTTTGAAGCATACTTTTAGGTATAATGTTATGAGATTCGTAACCTCCATAATTTGAAATACCCAGATATCATGTGGTATCTTTATTTTTCTGGGTGCATCGTCTGTGTGAAAGTGTTGTCAATGCTACCGCTTGGCCATAGCCTACAATCGCGATCTGGTGATCGAGTTGGAAAGGAAAATAGCAAGAAATAGTAATAACAACAACTAAAATTTTCCATAACCTCAAAAAAAAAAAATAATAAAAATAAAAAAATGCGGCGGCTATTTATAAAATGCGCAATCTGCGAGATGCGTGCGGCTATCTGTCTGTCGGTCTGTCGATGCCGCCAGCTGTGTGCCAAGACAACGCTGGCCCCCGGAACCCCCCTTTTTGGAGCCCCCTTTACAGTCCCCCTGCACTAGGTTGTCTGCGTTTATTGATTTATTAGAAAATTCCAATGAACAAGTTTTAATACACGACACACGGCGAACGATGAAGTCGATGTTGTCAGCATGCTTGTTGTGCTTTTTCTACTCCTTGCCGTGTGTTGTTGTTGTTGTTGTGTTGCACTTGTTGTGTTCCTGTGGCAAAGACAATACGGGGAAGAAAGACAGAGGCGGCAGCTGGAAAAAGTAACAAGTGCAATATTTTAATTACGCTGCAGCAGCAGCAACAACAGCAGAAGATCAGCGGCATTAATTAAGTTTGCAGCACGGATTTGGGCAGCCAGCGTTGCCAGATTGGTGTTACCCTAGGCGTATGATTGATATCCTATATATGATACTTCAAATACATTTTATTTGGTAAAACTGGATCTGGCCCTGAAAGAGGATAGCCTTTTTCCTATTAAAAGCTTAAAATATATTTCATTCTACAATATCTTTATAATATACAAATATTTTTTTTAAATTAAAAAAGAAGAACGAAATAGGAAATTGGTTTTTCTTATGACTATCTTCACTCTTATAGAAGTTATCTGATATCTCCTGTCTCCTAGCAACTCCAATTCCACAAAACTCTCACTTTGGCATATCTTAACTCAATCTAGTTCCTATAGCTGTTACTATCCAAACAATCCGGCAACGCCGATCGCCTCCAAAAGATTGTCTACTCCCGACTCTAAGCATTTTGCAATCAATTTAGATTTGCATTAGCATTCGCTGCAGTCCCGAGAAGTCATAGTCCGAGATTTGGAGCCAAAAATAAACCGAACCAGTTGGCCGCAGCGCCGAAAAGTCAAATGTGTAACAGCTTTTAGAGCTGAAGAGAGGTCCAAAGAAAGTCGAGATCGCCGAGCTGAGACAGAAGACAGAAGAAGACTGAGGTCTGTGAAGATTGTGAAGACTGTGTAGACTGTAGACTGGAGACTGTGAACCGAAGACGGCGACTGAGAGAGTTGAAATATTGTAATTGTGAGTCTGGCTTGTTTGTTATTGTTGCCTTAGCGGTTGCTTGTTGTTTTTTCGGCTTGATTAATAATTAATCGCACTCGCACACACACTCAGATATACATATATATATATACATATCGCTTGTTTTAATTACTCAACTTAAATGGCGCTTTGAGCGACTTAAGCAACTTGCTTTTGTGTATGCGATCGACTCTCACTACTACGAGCTCAAAACTAACTAACTAGCTGCTGCTTGTTATTGTAGTTGCTGCTGGGCCGCCGATGTTGCTGCCGTGCTGTTGCTGTTGCTGCTGTGCTTTGCTGTTGCTGCTGTGCTGTGCTGTTGCTGTTGCTGCTGTGCTTTGCTGTTGTTGCTGCTCGGCTCTGCTCCGTCTACGGATCGCTTTTGCCTGCCTGTTTGCCTTGCCTCGGCCGCTTTGGACGCTCATTCAGTTTTTTGCGCTCAACGCTCGTTGTACGGAACCGAAAAACGCGTTCGTTCCGAGTGTCGCCAAATCGCTAAATCGCTAAATCGCCAACGAAAATCGCTTATTACAACCGAATATATACAGCCTCTAATAACTGTTTTTATGCCCTGTAATCGTTTCGCGGTTTTCTCGAATAAGAGTTAAACGCTCTGAAGAACAGAAAATCTGAATCAGAAATAAAAACAGAAATATCTCTCAAAAGTTCTCTCGTTTCCGCGATCACTCGTTGTTGTCTCAGCTCCAAGTCTCTCCCCGATTTTTTGATACCAATTCCGATATACCGATTCGGTATCATATATAAATAGCTATTTTCGTATCTAATGTGTGTGTTTGTGTGAGTGATGTATCTGTGTGTCTCGAATCCAAAGCCAAAATAGCCCAAGTCAAAGCTTGGCCAAGTCCACTACTATCATCATCATCAGCAGCAGCAAACATGTGAAGTGCCAGTGATATTTCCATAAGCTAAAATCGAAATCGAAATCGAAGCCATAGAGAGATAGATAGGTCGAAGTATCTGAGTGGATATCTGTTTCGAACCAGTGTATAATGTATGCAACGTTCGCGAACTGCCAGAATTGGTTGTTGTTGCAGTTGCAGCCAAAGGATTTGTGGATTTTGGAGCGTAACTGAGCGGCGTGCAGCAGGTGCACCAGGTAAGCTAAATGCAAAATTTCTAGCAAATAACGCGCATACGCCATGGTGGCTGCGTGTCCAATTCGAGATCAATCGAATCAGTTGAACGTCTGGCGAACAGCTGACCGGGAAAACTGGAACTGGGTGCAATACCTATATACCATATATGTATAATGTGTATCAGTAAGCTGATAAATTATATAAATCTGAAAGAAATGCAAGGGGATTAAGAATTAAATACATATAACGAAGAAGAAGTTGTTGAATTTTATAACTGTTTTCGAGTTCAATTATTAAAGGATATATACTGGTTAAATTTTTTTAATAAAAATATTTAACTTCCCCTTTAATTTAATCGAATAAATCCAAATATATACAGAAGAATGGAGAATTAACTAGTCTTTATATGGAATTTTTAAGGGCACAGGGCAATTTTATCCATCAATTTATAAATAAAATAAAAATACCCGAAAATTCATTTTCTTATAACTTATCATATCATCCAAAAATAGGTTGGTAATAACAAATATTTATTTATGAACAATAATACGTCTGCAATCTTAATGTATAACAATGCCAAATCTTCTTTAATGCCACAATTTTATATCAAAGCGATTTAGGATTTTGTAAAACTACCATTTAAATATGGAAATAATAACTATAAAATAAGATGATCGTTTGATGGATCATAATATCCAAAGTAATAAAATGTTTCAAAAACAAGGAAGTCAAGATCGTATTATACAATCTTCGGCATTAGCGGATAAGTCTGTTCCGTCAACTTGATATCACTGCCTTAAGTTTCGTCACATTTCCGCTTAGTCCCCGGGCAAAAAGTGAAATTCTATCTCCAACCACCGGACATTATCTCCGGAGACATGTGGATATCGAGTGTCACTTGCATATTCATGGGGGCCAAGTGATGAACTGAATCAACGGCATTCCACACCAATCACAATTAGCGGCCGACACTGACATTGGCCATGGTAAAACCCTTTGACCATATGCCATATACTTGCTAATTTATGACGCCATTTGGTTAATTGAATAATTATATGTGACTGGCTGGGCGTGGCAGCAGTTAGAAATCGATCGCGATTGCATAAGCCATCCCACATTCAGAATCAGAATCAGAATCGGAATCAAAATCTATATCCATATCGATATAGATGCGATTTGCCTTGCTAATTGCATTGGGGACACTAAATCAGTGTTAAAGTTCACCCCACTAGGCTCAATTAGTTTATTAATTGCGATTTGCATTTGCATTTGCGAGGCGCAAAAAACCCGTTGCTGGGCTAGGTGTGAAATTGATAGCTTCGAAAAATAAAAACCGATAACAAAACTAAGCAACCGCAGAGGCAGTAGCTACGGCAACATAGAAGCAATATAAACAGATATGTATACAGATACTATGATATGGCAACAGCTGACGAAGAGACCATGAAGGTCTACCACTTTCGGAAATTCGACAAAAATGAAATAAAAATCGTGAGCACGCAATGAAGCAGCCAAGTTGAAGTTGGCTTCCACTTCCACTACCAACTTCATCACCATCTCCATACCATCACCATCACCATCAGCATCTTCATCTTGGCCTGGCAAATCACGTTGCTGATAACAACAACTAAGCAATGCGGCAATAATTTGCTGCCCATGCCCACCTCGCCCCTCTGTTGGCCAAGTTAAGTGGCTACTGGTCATCAGCAAGTAACTGGCTTAGGCCAACATTTTTATCAAAAGTGGTGGCATTAGCTACCCTACCTTTCTTCCCCCCCCCCCACCAAAAAAAAAAAAAACTGGTCAGCCTCTGCGTCTCCCAATAGTTTCACTTATTTTACACGCATTTCTTAACGATAAATAAATTCCACAAGCAGATGCGGCCAGCAACAACAACTTGGCCCGGTCAGCAACAACTTTTGCTATCACGTTTCCATGCAAACAACACACAACACACAGCCACAAAAATATTTTCATTGGTATTCGCTTGTACTTGAATTGCCCCATGAAAAACCAGGGGGGGGGGGGGTTCAAGGGGGTAAAAGAGGCTGCAGCAGGTGGCAACTGCGAACTGCAAACTGCAACTGCAGTTGCCAACTAATGCCTCAGGTGCTTTTGGCCCGGACTTTGCACCTTCGTCTACCGTTTGGGCCATTCTGATGCCAGATTTCCGCCTGATGTGGCGCCCCAAGGCAGCCGAGAACGATATCCGATATCGCTGGCTGACTTTTCATTATTTTATGGGCTACACCTTGACGGAAAAACCACTCGGATTGCACAAGAAGTGCGATCTGAGAACTTATTTTAGCCTATTGATATTTAAATTATAGGAAAAGCTTTAAATATGATAAGGTTTATTTCATATTCTTAATTAACGACTGGCATTTATTATTATTATTATTGTTCATTAATATTAAAACTCGGAGCTAGTTGAGGTTTTATTATAGAGCAGCAGGGGTCTTGAAATCGCCTAAGATATTATGACAGAAATAGTTTCTTTGGAAAGTATTACAATTGTTATGTAAATTTAAGTTAATTTTGTTTTGATCCTACAAAATTTTTATATTCCAGATTTTTAAATACATCTAATATTACTTAATTAAAAAAGCGATTCGATTTATTTGATACAATTTTTTGATACTTAATAAATGGGTTTTTAAAAAAAAACTTTGGAATATTAACATTTTTTTTTAAATTAAAAAGGAGTTTAAAAATAATAAATATATTATTATATATTATATTATATTGAAGATTCTTTTAACAATAAATTTATGGCTTAATGAGAAATCTTAATAGAACCGTCTAGTTTATCTTATGTAACTTAAAGATGATATGACCATTTCTATTCTGAGAGTATTTATTAGGTTCCTTAAAAGAATCAGTATTCAGCACATCGGCGACATGGATTTTTATTCAAGTCCACCAGGTCCACCAAGCCCACCTCAGTCACCTGCTAAACTTCTATGCTAAACGAAGATGAATGAACTCGACTTCAAGGTGGCCCCACGAAACGATTTGGCAACGTCTTCTTTCTGTCAAATCGAGAACTGATCAATTTTGCTTTTTAATTTATAAATTCTCTCTCGAAAAAATGTTGTATAAGGTCATCTTCTTCAGAACCCGGCCATACTGGTTTTTTTTTCGGTCCCGCAGAAGATGCTAAACGGTGTAGTTTCACTCGGCGGGCAACGCGGCGTATACGGTATACCCAGTATGCGAACTTGAGATACTTTTCCAATTCACTTTTGCCCCGGCCTTTCTCACCGCCGCCCCAATGATACCCCTAAATATCGGTATCAATTTCGCAGATATATATTTATTGTATATGATTTATCATGTCTGACACTTGGGCCAGACCACTTGTCAAATGGGAAATAGCCACGACAACGACAACGACAACATGCTGTGATTTTAGATAAATTCATAACTCAGCCCAACTTGTCTTGCCTTCAAAGTTCAAATCACTTGGCACTCTCGCATACACACAGTTTGGATCGTTTGGATCGCTTGGATCGCTCGGATCGTTTGTATTTCATGTTAATTATTTATTTATGAGTTATTTTTGCGCGCGTTCATTATTCGATAAGCCTCAAATGGAGAGACACCATTTACATTTACAGTTATATATCGGGCATATCGCGAATGCGACTCTGTTTGTTTTCATTCTGAAATTCATTTTTTCAGCTCACATACACTCTTGGCATTTCAAAGGAAGCCAGTCAGCTGTTGCCGCTGGCGAATTTCGATTTAACGAACTTGAAATCGCTCTACAAGCTGCTGGCGAAACGATAACAAACAATTGTGTATTTATTATTATTTTCTTCTCGGTTGTATTTTGTAGTACTCTGGCAATGCGACATTAATCAGTGGACTTCGTAACAGAACTAAGTTTGAAGTACAAACAAATATAGGGTGGGAGCCTTGTAGTTCCTCAAACATATGTTTTCGTTTTTGATATGTGGGCCAGCAGGAAATTCATATAACAGATTGATTGGGGATCGTTGTTTTCAATGGGATTTCCATTTCAATTGCAAAGAAATAATATGGATAAGAAAAAATTAAAGATTGTTTGAGGTTCCAAGAAAGTATTATCTGAACTTTTTCAGGATTGGCTTTGATGAAACTTAATTTATCTGTATTTAAAATATGAAATCATAATTAAGAACAGTAGTAAAT